CGGCGGCGGAGGAGCGCAGGGCGGTGGCCGAGGCGCTGCGGCCCGAGCAGGCCCTGCGGCGCGTGGCGGTGCGCGTGGACGCAGGTGCGGGGGGCGCCCCAGAATTGGGTCGGTTTCCTAGCCGGGCAGGCGCGTGGTCTGGAGGCGGCCGGTCCCAGGCCGGGGATCCGCTCTCCGCAGCCGGGCACTGACGACAGCCGTGTCCATGCGGCCTCTTGCAGCCCTTCTGGAAGATGCTGGTGCCGACATCCTGCTGGAGGCCCTGCGCGCCCTGGGCTGTGAGTACCACGTCGAACCCCAGCGGCCGGCCCGGAGCCTCAGGTGGACCAGAGCGAAGCCGGACCCTTGTCCCCGCACTGTGAGTGTCTTGGAGCTACAGAGTGCACCCTTGGCCTGTTTGCTCCCCGTAACTTCATGTAAGTCTGCGGATTTTGCAGACCAGTAAGCTAGAAGCAGGAACGCTGAGGGGGTGCCGGTGAGTTGCAGGGTTGGCGTCAGTGGACCTGAACTGACCTTGGACTTGCCCGGGGATGGGACGTGGGTCACCTGTAGAACAGTCCCCGTGGGGCCTGGGCTTGGCTGTGGCCACGAGCCTCAGAGCCACTGGAGTGCCCATGGCAGGGCCCTGGGGCATGTGAGGTGGTGGGTGGGCAGCAGTGTCTCTGGATGTCCCCACAGGTGCCTTCGGAGGTGTGGGCTGCAGATGAGCAGGACGTCCTTCTGCTCCTGGAGCCCGAGGAGTTTCTGCAGGGCATCCAGCAGCTGACCCAGGTGCCGGGGGGGCCGGGGGGTGAGGGGGGGGTGGCAGCAGTAGTCCTTCTCCACACATCTCGAGGGGCTGGGCTCCTCAGCCTGGGGGAGCTGCTCTGCCAGTCTCCGTTCCCTGCCCCAGGGAGAGGGGCCAGACAGGGTGTGTGCAGCAGCCTGGGGCTGTGGGTGAGACGGGGAATCCAGGTGGGTTCTTGGCCGGGGAGCAGATGGGGGCTGCCGCTGGGGGGGTAAAAGGTTAAGGAAGGTTCTCTGGAGAGCTGCGTGATAAGGCAAAGGCATAGGTCAGACTGTGCGGATCTTGGTGTTTGCGGTTCCGCGTTTCTCAAGGAAATGCCGAATGCTAGGCAAATGGCGGGCGGGGGTGCAGAGAGAGAGAGAAATGGTGGGTAGGGACTCAGTGCCGCTCTTCCAGGTGCCTGGGAGGTGTTGGGGGCTTTCAAAGGTCCCTGGGCCTTGTGGGAGGCACACAGCTGGTTTCCAACAGGAGCTGACTGGTCAAAGGAAGCCAGTGTCCTTTTCCCACTGAGTCCCTCTCAGACCGCCTTCTTTCCTGTCTGCAAACACAGTGGCTGGGTCGCCAGTGGGCCCTGCCTGTTGCAGCCCCAGAAACAGGTGTGTTAAACCTTGGTTTGCAGACTCGTGGCCCATCTTGCTCCGTGCCCTGGATCTGTCCTGAGAGCTCCACCAGCCCCCACCTGGCTGTCATCGGGCTGGATGCCTACCTGGGGTACTAGTCACTCTCATGCCCTTAGTAGGCCTGGGTGGGATACGGGAGATCAGGGGAAAGGTAGTGGTGGCCCGGGGCTTGGTGGGACACAACGAACTCCCTTTCTTGGGGGCTTAGGGGTAATGACGGGGTGTGGGGAGCCAGAGGGATGGTCATCTCTGCTCAGGTCTCACCAGCCCAGCAGCCAGGAAATGCGACAGCCAGAGAGTACATCGGTGGCCCGTGCCGCAGTGGCACTCAGCTGGCCCAAGGTGGAGGAGGTGAGGGCCCGTCGGGTGGGGTGAGGTGCCTTGCCCTTGGTCCTAGCACTTGGGCTGTTCTCCAAAGCCCCGTAGCCCCGGTTTTGGTCCCGGAGCAGCACGTGGGGTTGGGCGCAGCCAGGTGTCCCCTGGGGGTGACCTTGACTGACCCACACTGTGGGCTTACCTCCTCAGGCCCTGGTGCTCCTGCAGCTCTGGGCACATCTGGATGTATTGCTGGTGGCCTCCTGGCAGGAGCTGAGTCAGCATGTGTGCGCCTTCACCAAGGCCCTCGCTCAACGCCCCTTCAGGTGCATGACCCCCACCCTTGACTGGTGGCTGTGGCTGGGGGAGGGGACAGGGACACCTGGAGGAGCGGGATCTCTCTGGTCTCTTTGGGAGCAGAGCGGGCCGAGGGCTTTGTGGGGCTGGGAGGATGGGATGCTCTGCAGACATGAGGCCTCTGGAAGCGTCCCTGCATCCTTCCCTGTCTGCAGGCGGTACCGGGAGTCCCGTGCCTTTTCCTTCTGTGTGGCTGGGCGCTGGGCAGCCAGCGAGCGCGTGGCGAGCGATGGCACAGGGCTGCGGGGCATCTGGTGGCGGCAGATCAGGCAGTTCCACCGGGTCAGCCCGGCCGTGGCCCATGCCATTGTCACCGCCTTCCCCTCCCCTCGCCTTCTGCAGCAGGTGGGTTCCCTGGCACCCCTTCTGGTGTGGAGCCAGGTCCCCCAGAGCTGCCCTGCTTACCCCCGTACCTGCCCTAGGCATACAGGAGCTGCAGCACGGAGCAGGAGCGCCTGGCCCTCCTGGCAGACCTCCCCGTGAAGATGGGCGAGGGCATGCGACCCCGCAGGGTGGGGCCTGACCTTTCCCGCCGCATCTGCCTCTTCCTGACTACCACCAACCCTGAGCTCCTACTGGACCTGGGCTCCTGACCACGCCTGGGGGACAGGACGGGGCCCTTTTTCACCTACCAGCGGGACAGAACGTGGTCCACCCCATGCAGGGGCTGAGCTGCCAACTACCCCGGGGGAGGGGGGTTACAGGGCGCCGCCCCTGGGGTGCGTGGGAGGGCGTGGGATGGCCAGAACATTTTCGGGTAACTGGGACGAGCAGGAGAGGAGGGGGTGAGCTTCCCCTGCCCTGGGTTCTGGATACACCAGCCACAGAGCCAGGGCCCAGTTGGGGGGTTAGGAAGGGGGAACACACACCAGTCACAGGGAGACTTGGGGGTGGCACCTTCTAAGAAACAGTAAGAAAAGTCTCGAGGGAGGAAAGCGCACTGGGTTCTCTCTCCTGGAGGGTGTTGTGACGCAGCCGGGCACGAGGGGAGGAGAGCTGCGGGCCTCGGCCAGACTCCATCCTGCCACCACGGAGGCGTCACATAAAGTCTAAGTTTATTACGGTCATTTTGGTCTGGGACGGGAGGAACAGCAGCTGACGACATGCAAAAAAGCAAGTGAAGGAAAACGCAAGGCCGCGGCAACAGCGCCGCCTCTAACCGCGTCCTCGCGGGCGCTGACCCATAGTCGGTCCGGAAGAGCCAGGCCGGCGGCTTCCTCGCGGTGCAAGGAGCAGATGCCCTCAGGACCCTGGAGCCTGTCCCGGCGAAGCCAGCCCTCCATGCGAGTCGTGCCCCTGGAGCCTGGTCCAAAGGGAGGGACAAAGAAGGCGGCCACTTGGCCCCAGAAAGGCAGTTTTCACGGGAAATGAGTCAGGTCCGTCGGCAGCGCTTCCTCTGGCAGTGCCGGGTCTCGGGGCCGCTGGCCGTGGCCTTGGGGGAGGGTGCGGGGGGCTTGCGGCGGCCGCAGCTCATGCTCAGGACCCAGCCCAGCTTGTGGTGCAGCAGCTGCTTGAGGCCGGGTGGCAGGGGCAGCCCCTCCAGCGTGTCCCCGGAGTCGGGCCGCAGCTGGCGCAGCCGGTAACAGCACAGGTACTGCAGGGAGGTGACGCTGGCGCACGAGCGGATCACCTTCATGCTGCTCTTGGCCGCCGTGGAGCACACCATTGGGTAGAACTTCCTGTTCTGCAGCTTGGTGGCTGCCACACCTGGGGGGGACAGGGAGCGCAGCCTGAGCCCCAGGCCGAGCAGGGGCAGCGCCTGTTCCCACCACCCCTCGGGCTGCCCCACCCTCTGGGAACCCCGGGGCCTCAGGTTCCTGGGGGGATTGGCTTTCGGGGAGCCTGGGGCCGCAGTTCCACACCTTGCAAGCATGGGTCAAGGTCACGGCTGCCCTCACCTATGCACTTCCTGTTCTTAAAGAAGGTGAGCGTCCCGTGCCAGGTGTCCAGGTGCACGCCGATGATGGAGCCCTGGCCGAACCTCGACGAGAAGCTCATCTTGTCACCCTTGTGATGGAGGAGCCCTGAGGGGCAGTGGGATGGGGTAAGCCCTGCTGCCTCAGGGTGTGGCCCCCCGGCCCCCGCCCTGCCTGCCCTTGGGGCCCTACGCACCTGTGTAGGAGAGACCCCAGCTGTCCTCATCTCTCCCGAGCAGACTGCAGAATGTGTGGTGGTACTTGTCCAGGTCCACATCCGACGTCCCAATGCCCACCATCTGGGAAGAGCAGGGCAGGCAGAGAGCGTCTGGGCACCTGGGGTCACACCTGCCCGCCCCACCCCCCACCAGCCTGCTGGCCACTGACCATGTCGGTGCCGTAGACTGGCGAGGTCATCTTGATCTCCCAGAAGTGCTGGCCCTCCCCCAGCTCCTTGGTGCCCCTGATGGCTGCCGTGCCGCAGCTGTACTCCATGTGGAAGTTGACCTTTCGGTTGTCGCAGCTTAGCAGTGTGGCCGAGGATTTATTCAGGTCATCCCACACCCAGTCAAAATCTGCAGGAGCCAGGGGCGGAGGAGGCTGGGGCTGGAGGGCTGGAGTGCATGTGGGCCGGGCTCACCCCTCCCCTGGCCCCTGGTCCTCCCCCCGGGTCCTCACGCTCGTCCTCCTCGCCGCAGCGGCAGTCCTTGTCCTTGCTGCGGCGCGCCGAGTGCAGGCTGCTGCAGAAGGGGGCCTCGCTCTGGCCATCACAGTCACAGAAGGACTCCCCGGTCACGGGCACAGCGCTGGGGATGGGCGGCGGCAGGGCAGAGGACTCGGGGTCGGAGTCGGAGTCACTGTGCTGGGAGAGAAGGACTGGCTGCTCCCGCCTGGCGCGCCCTCCGCCCTCCATCCTGAGATCCACCACGTGCGGGGTCAACCACACCCATGCCCCAAGCAAGCGCCTGCAGATTTGGCTTCAAAGGGCTTCCCTGGGTCTCCTGAGAGTCAGCCCCCACCCTTGCCCAGCGCCACCCCAGGTGACCCCGGACACCTGCTCTGGCCTCCTGGGAATGAGCTGAAGGACTCTACCCCACCTCCGCACAGCCTTGGGGTCACTGGGCGCCCTGCTGACAACCAGCCAGGTGGGGCTGTCGGCTCCCCAGTTTCTCCTTCTCTGGGCCACCTGAAGCAAGGGAGCCCCAGGACAAAGTCTGCTGCTGACCCAACAAAGGCAGCCTGGCTCTCCCCACGGGGAGCATGTGGGCTCCAGGGGGGCCCTCACTGTGGCAGAGCCCCTGCGCCTGTCCTAGGCTATGGCCCTGTGCTCATCCATGGAATGGGTGGCTCTTAACCCATAGCACAGGGCCCTGGAGCCCCGTGCTCCCATGTCCATGCGTGAAGCTTCTGCCACAAGACATGCAGAGGGGCCTAATCCTCACAGCACGTGCGCCATGTCTCAGGAGACTGACTGTGGCCCAGAACCAGATCCTTCCTGAAAGCCAACTAGGGCTACTAATACTACAGATGTTGTCTATGCACGGAGCTGTTCCTCTTCTAAGGACAGGCCCCCCTGGACACAGACCTTGAGCCAACCCGCAAGGGGCTGGGGTCTCACTGACCAGTCCCAGAGTGCAGGTAGGCTCTAGGTGTCGCTCTGGCAGCCCAGCAGGCTGGGGTCCTGGTCAGGCTCCACCCTCCACCCCCTGCTCTCCTGAAATGCCATCTGCACAGCAGGCCAGGTGCCCTTGCTTAGACCCGGAGCAGGGCCTGGCCCACCTTAGCATCCTGCTGCCCTGAGTGTAAGGCCCACACCCCCACTCCAGTTGGGTCCATCTGTCTCCTCTTTGCCCCTAGAAAAGAGGCTCTTACAGCCCCTCCCTCCCGTCCCATGCTCCTATTCTGATCTGCTTTCTCCCACTAGGAACAGAGGCTGAAAAAACCTGCTCCTTGTGTGTCTCCTGTCACACCCAGGGCTATGGAGCGGCCACACAAGCCACGCGGCGGAAACTGCGCTAAGGAGGCCAGAAGCAGAGACAGATGCCAACAGGAGACGGGAGGAAGGCCCAAAGCACCCCACCTGCATGGAATGCTGATCCCCCAAAAGCCAAGGCAGACCCACTGCTAGTGAGAGGCGACCCCCTTCCCACTGTCAAGTGCCAGGGTCGCAGACCTGAGCACTGGGGGGTCAATCTGGCCAGCCCCCTGCACAGCAGCCCACCACCAACCACAGGACAAGCATCAGAGCCGAAGGGAAGGGAGGTGTGTGTTCAGTCTCCAGACATGCTCAGGGTGACACGCCCACCCACACAGCCAAGGACTCCAAGCCCATTAGGCAACAGACAAGCTTCAAACGTGTCACGTGCTATGCCCTGGTCCCTCAACACCTCCTGCATCTCATAGCGATGAGCTGGCCAGGCAGAGACAGGCAGGAGAACAGATTGCTCAGGTCACGTGGTCAGGGGGAGCTGGAGGCGGGACAGGAATGCAGGCCGAGGCCTCTTGCTGGCCTGGGCAGGGAGTCTGCGGAGGCCCTAGGAAGGGGCACAAGACACTACCAGCGCCTCCCATTCTCCCTCCGGGTCTCGCAGTTCCACAGGGCTCAGCCACCCTCACTCTAAAGACACCCGGCTGGGCCGGGGCAATAACACGGGGTGGCTGTGACGTGGCAGAGCCCAGTCACCCAAGGATCACCCCTGCAGGAAACAGCTGGGGTGACTCAGAGCAGAAATGAACCCCTACCCTGGTCTGAGAGCCCTGAGAAACCATCCACAGTGCCTACCGCCAGCAACAGGCACAGAGGCCACGCAGTCCTGCTGCCCCATCCACCATGGCAGGTTGGGACAGCCAAGCGCTCAGGGCCGGCAGGCAACCTGCACTGCACGTGAACAACCCAGCCGCTCCTCTGACCATTCCTGGGCTCCCCGGCCTCCCAGAGCTCTGCAGCTGCCGAGTGTGGGAAGGTGCAGGCGTTTTGGGCTCTAAAAATTGTAAGTTCTCTTTCTACATACATAGACACAAACATCAAGCGTATGTCTGTACGAGTGGAGAAAACATTCAGGAACACACACGTCAAGCTACTTTTGGACACTGGTTGGATAAACGGAATGGAGTTTTTGTTGAACTGACCACAAACGCAACTGCTGTGCCCCAGAAACAAGAGAATAGAGGTGGGATCTGCCCTGGGGTCCTGTCACCCCAGGACCACATGGGTCCTTAACCCGGGGAAAGGAGGGCCCGCCTGGCCCGTCCTCGGCCCTTGGGGGCATCTTTCTCTTTCAGTCCTGGCTCAGGCACTGCCCGCCCTGGGCGCCTCTACCCCTTAGTCCAGCCACGCCCACCTCCCCCGCTAGGACCTACCTGCCCATCAGAGTCGTAGCCCCAGTTAGTGGTCCCTGCCAGAGCCACAGCCCGGGCATCCGCGTCTCGGTGGGCCGCACTCAGGACAAAATGCCAAGCTCTGCTGCTGCGAGGGCGCCGGGCCATGATGGACAGGATCTGGAAGAAAACCCAGGTTCTGAGCAGAGAAGACAGGAGACAGCAACTCCTGTGCTCCATCCTGGGCCAGCTGCGCCAGCCCCGTCCAAAGGTGGGAGCTCTCGTGAGCCATGCAGATACTGAGCAAGGGCACTGGGACTCTTCTTGACCTCAGACCTCCCTCCAGTATACAAGCACCTTGATGAACGCAAGGCAAAGAGTGTGGAACACCGTCCAGATGCCCATGACTCTCCAGGGCATATCTCAGTCCCTGTCGGAGCTCAGCCTGATGAACCCAGCTGTCCCTCCGGCATCTCAAACCTTGTCTGGCTCCTTCTCTGTTGTCCAGTTTGACAAATGGCATCTCCAACCTCCCAGTTCCTCATGCCAGACCCATGGCAGTCACCCTGGACACCCCTTTCCTCCCTCGGGCACTGGCCTGACAGCCCCACACACCCAGCACCACCTCCAAACCATGTCCTGAACCCCTCTCTCCATCCCCGCCGCCACCGCGACTTCCAGCCACAACACACCTTCACTCTGGCTCCTCCCACTTCACTCATTCACTCAGTCAAAAAGCTGACTTTTTGGAAACACAAATCTTAAAAATTTAAGTCTCAACCAATCTTGAAACTCCTCGGCCTTGCATTACTAAGACAATATGCAACATCCCGCAAAACCTATCAGGTTTTTTCTGTGCGTCTCCACGCCGCAAGGGCCTGGGTCCAGGTGCGAGCCCTTTCCTGCCATTTGCCCAGAATGCCTTTCCTTTCCTGCATTCTCCCTGTAACACGCCGCCTTCTGGGGCTGTCTCCTGGACCCAGAGCCCCGCGAGGCCGGGGGCTGCCCCGC